CTAAACCACCTGAGGTGACCATGATCTAGAGCATCGCAACTATTGTCACCGAAGTTAGTAAGTCACGGAAGACCGTCACAGACAAAGAAAGATTGTCAAAGAGAGCTGCAATTTTGGTGAATCCCACGGCAACACACCGAGGCATAACGAAAATTCCTCAACTCCGTTCAACACAACTTTCCTTAACTTCTCCGTCTGTACAGTATGCACCATGCAGCTCAGTTGAGTCTCATAGACCTTTATCGTGATTGTCGTCACAGTACCACGTGACCTAGATCTGTTGCTTCGTTTATGCATATTGAGGTGAGGTTTACTAAAACGCTTTTTGTCTACTAATAGATTGTTTCTATAATTTTTATATGACGGGGATCGATTAAAACATAACTGTAGTGTATAGATTAAGTGCTGGATCTTCAGAATTCGAGAAATGGATTTTTATATGATTATTGTCCTTTAACAGATCCTTTTTGGTATTACATAGGCGTGGATAGTAAAATCCTTATATGTTTATACAAGCATTACATAGTAAGGACTCATGTTAGTTTATACATCACATCCATTAGCAGCATGGGTATATAAAAAGACTAGTCATTTGTTATGCATAATAATTATACTAATATTTATTTAAAGAAGGTAAAACATGTCAAGCGTTTAAACTTACTTTTAACTTACATGTGCATGCCCCTGTCCTTTGTTTCTGTGTACCTGTGATATAGTTTATGTTTAGTTCTGTATGTTTTGGTATTGTTCTACTCTATTATATAATTACCAGAATGTGTGTGCGCGCGCATGTGTGTGCGTATGTGTGTGATTTTTTTCAGCTTTTACCTCATTGAAAAAAAGCATGTTCTTGGAACAGGGTTTTATGATTTTAATTACTTTCTTCTGGTTGTTTGGAATATTTCCTTTTCCAGGTCTGGACTGACTTTCAGTGATTGCAAATGTCTATGAAACACTAGTCAATCACATGGAACTGACTGCTGTACACATAAATGAATGATAAAGAAAATCAATGTATTCTTTGTAACGTAACATTGTTGTTAAATTCCTTTTAACACTAGCACAAATAATTTTGTTACACTTTCAAAAACACAACAAAATGATAATAATAATAAAAGATAATAATAATGATAATGATGATAACTTGAATAGGGCCCTACTGCCATTGTTTATAGGATAAAAACATAGCCCCCTAGCGATATAGTTTGAATGAATGTTGTGTTTTTATTTGCGACGTGAATGTTGTGTTTTTGTGTGGCAGTGAACATGACCAAAATACGTATTTTTATATCATGAAAAATGTGATCTATTTTGTTTCAGTCTTTCAAAGTTTATTTTTCAATTACATACAAATTATTTTTAAATTTTTGTCTTAATCATGCTTTTGAAGGGCAGACGAAGCAAGGTAAGTTTGGTGGAAACAACAAACATGTCATAACATATCTTAATGCTTTGTATTTTAGACTTGCCATGGGTACTGCAGATGACAGATGAGAAATAATGATTTCTGTAAGTAATCCAAGCTTGCTTGAAACACCCAAACCAAAAGTCATTGTCAACCCCAAGCGCTAATGTTGTTCTGCTTCTTAATGGGGAAAACCACTTGCCATAAGGCTGTATGCTTGACCCCAAAATCTTTACACTGTGCTTGTCATCCATTGAGGATAGTGTTGTTCAGTTTGGATTTATTTTGATTTTGTTTGCAGATAATTCCCAGGTATATGCTATATGTGAAAACCCTTGTTATAAAAACACATATAGAGGCTTGTGTGCATGAACTGAGATCTTGGCTCAAGTGCAACTATTAAGTCTTCAATGATGATAAAACTAAATTGGTCCATTCAACTCAAAAGTTTTCCAAAGTCACCACCATACTAGATACACGAGTTAAATATTCTGTTATCAGTATCACCACAGGAGTTAAAACTTGGATTCAATTAAAATAAAAAAAAACAAATGTGCCATTACATCGCACATTACCAAAATCTTTACATCACCATATTTTTGTCTGCAAAATATCTTAGATTTCTCACCTTTTTGGCGGTAAGCAAATAGTCACTTATCCATGTGTTTGTAACTTCTATATGTAGAGTCAATTATTGCGATAGCCTGTTGTTTATTAGTTACCTTCGGCTGAAAGAATAGTCTGTGAGATAGTAATCTTGACTTTTGAAATTTTAAAGGGCGATTGTCCATTGAACCCGAACAATAAAATAAAACTTGTAACTCCTATTAGAACTTCCCAATCCAGTGGTCATTTTTAGTGCGTCCATGAGAAAGCCAGAAAAATTGATCAAAAAGCGGCAAGGTAGGGGTAAACAGATTTTAATAATGTTTGGTGTGGTAAACCATCAGTATGAAAGACATTGGCAGCCACTGTTTTTTTTTGTTTTTTTTTTTTTTTTTTTTAGGGTCATTAGTTTTAGAGATATTGGGCAAAGTCTTTTTTTTTTGCAAAAATAGCATTTTTTAAGTCTTAAATAGCTATAATGTAAATATTATTTTAAAAACAATATGCACCATAAGAAATTATTTAGCCACATGATGTGTTAAGGAAAGAGCTTTAATACCCAGTACACATTTATCAAAATGGCACTGTCATGATTTTACTAAGGCATGTTTCCCATATGCTTGACCCTTTCCCCTTCTTAAAGTGCACACATCTTATTTTTTCCAGGGTGTGTCCACATAATTTTGGTATGTGTTGATAAAAAAGGATTGCAAAATACATTTTGTGAAATAAAATATGTGTTAAACCTTGTAAAATTAGACATTTTATATTTTAAAAGGGTCTGAAAACGTATGTTTTTATACTACTGAAATTCTAAACTGTTTCTTGAACTGAATCAAAATCATGTTTAGGTTTGTGAAAAGAACCTTTTAAATAAACATTCTTGCCCTACAGACTAATTTATATCCCCCTTACGTTGTAGAAACTAAATGTAAAATGACAATGCTAATTCTGCAACCTGTTTTCAATATGGCGGGTACAAGGATTATCCCCGGAGCAACTCTGGAGAAAATCACATAATCTTTTTAGTCTTAAAACATAATGCTTTCTTAATTTTACGAAGAACACGCACTAGAGATGCTTAGGTACATCTACGAAGGATTGTTGTGCACCAGAATATAACAAGAAATGACCTTAGCAGCTGGTCGTCCTAAGAATGTCAATGTGCATTTTTTGTTGAGCAACTTAAGGCTGTTGAGACTCTCGGGTTCTGCAGTGTATCCAGCTCAGCGATTTACCTCTGGATGTAGAAAATAGATATCGAAATATCATGTGTATTAATAAAACCCAAGAATCAATTGATAGGCAAAAGAAAGGTTGGAAAAAATTGTAACATAAATCATTTCAAATGGATTTAATTGGGGTTGCACTTGAAAAAACTAATAAATTAAAACAATCGTTACTTTTTACCTTTAGAAATTCCTTTGTAATTTTTAAAACCTCTATTGCTCACTTATATAAGGAACACACAATGCTGATGATGTTATTTGCACAGTAATAACTCATTAAATGGGGGGGACTTGTCACTAATAATTTAAAATTATTCAGAAGTTGTATGGCTCTGTTTGAAAGGTTCATGATGTGAACAATCCTGTATTAAAGATATCAAAATAAAAATTCCTGCAAAAAAAATGGGCCTCTTGATTATTTTGAGAAATTTTGGTAACCGTATTTTGGGACAGAATTGATGGAAGCCATCTTGTGTTTATAAAAGTTGGATAGATTTGCCCTTATATCTGCACATAGGCCGCTTGGTTTTCAGCTAATATTGCTAAAGTTTGAGGTAGTTTTTCAATATCTTCTGTTGTATTAACACACATTTTAAATTTTTTACGATGAGATAAATATATGCTCAGGATCCCTGAGCAATCTTTATGGCTGTCAACCCTGCAAAAAGAGAGATGTGAATGCTTGAACATTGCTTGGTAGAAAAGTGAGTTTGGGGGTTTGGGGTAATAAGAATGGGCCTGGCTCGTTAATTTGAGGGTTAAACTGAAACTAGCAACATGCTCTCAATGGCAAATGGCTGGTTTAAATAGGTTACTTACAAATTTATTTTAAATTTCACTAGTTTTGACATATTTGCTCATGAAGTGACTTTATTGACCAAAGCTGAAAATCAAGCCAGAAATGGCCAAAACATTTCATGTCATATTATGATAATATTCAATGATTTCTTTTGGGATTGTTGTCTTCAATGTTAATATCTCCTATGTGTGCAACAATATAATGAATTTGGTTGAAATCTGTTGACCCCCACCTTGCCACCCTCTGACTGGTCCTATCAGGGACACACGCTGAATAAAACATAATCTACATGTATTACAGTGAACATCATAGAATAATAGTTCACATAAAATAAAAAGCGAAGTTTACTATTTTCCAAAATGTAGGTCTTTATTATTTAGCAATCTCCCTAAAATAAATTTGAACTGTGACCATATTTTTTACAGATTTATTTCACATCTATGTACAAGTGCTGAACGTGCTAGCCAAACATGTTTACAGTAGCCATCTCCTTGATTATTCCATTGGCGGTAAGCATACACATGAGTGCCTGTATGACAGTATCAATACTGTGTACCCAGCGGGCAAATTATGTTGTTTTAATGTTGAAACAACGTTGAACCATAACGTTGATAATACGTTGGATAAACATTGGATTTGAAAGTTGACTCAACGTCAGATAACAGCATTGTATCAACCCCAGTTGTAACACAACATTCTTGCATGAAAAGACATTCAAATGTCCTGAAATGTTTTAACTTTTGGTACAAAACACAGGTACACAATTATAACGTACATTGTAAAAACATCCAAGTGCCTGCTTTGTCTGATTTTTTCAACACATTTAGCTCCTAAGCATGTTTTGCACCTAAGAATGGTACACCCTTTTAGATTTGATGTGTTTAGCAGTAAGATATGTTTGATGGCTAAATATATGTATGGTATATATGTATGGCCTTTAAGTTAAAATTTCAAAGATATATATATATATATAGCAAATTCACAGTCACCCCAATCTGTCTATCTATAACAGGGTACGGAGAACTGTCAACTTTGTGAACTTCACTCCATCGCATTTACAGCAAAGTATTAATCCTAGTGTTACCTGACCTTGCAAGGAATTCAGTTTATTGGAATGTGTTTCTGAATAACAAGTTAAGAAAATTCACTAGTTCACTAAAGACACAAAAAAATTGTCACTTTTACTTTAAATATTTTTTTTATTATTTTGATAAAGTCAGTTACAGTATTGATAAATAAAGTATCACGTTTTCAATAATTAATATTCTAAATTACAATCCATGTCTGCAAGGTTGTGTCAATGACCAAAATGCAACGTTGAGTCAACGTCACATTATGACAGTGTTTTGACGTGGCTGGATCTACGTTGCTTTTACGTTGAATTTAGGTAGATCAACGGCAATTCAACTTATCAACTTGTTTTCAACGTTGATCCAACGCGACTATGCCTACTGGGTAGTTTTTGTTATATTTCTTTTCTGGTTTCTTTAATAAATGTACAAATAGATTTACTTTTTTGTTAATTTTATTTTATTTTTGTATGTTACTTTTATTTTTGGTATGCTATTATTCTCATGAAAATACAGTTAAAGTTACAGTCTTGAGTACCCTGCTTTATTTGATAGATTTTTGTTGGTGTCATTACTGGAGCTGCATCTCAAGTGCGTAACACTTCCTGTGCAGGTAAATCCTATTTTAATTCTGTACAACCATCTTTTGATAAACTGCATATGATCTGGTTTAGAGATTGGGGTGATAAATGGACATATACAACATTCATTTTTTTTTAAACTTCCGTACGCTTGAATGTAAGCTACCTGTAATGTTATGTAATGTAATGTAATTTAATGTAATGTAATGTAGTTCTTTGCTTTTTAATTAATTAATTTTATCAATGTATTTACTTAATTAACTTTAAAAAACAGCAGCAGGAGCTCTACTGTTCCTTCAAAGTCATTTCTTTTAGGAATCAAATTTAAACATGTTTATGAAATAAAAGTCAACGTTTTTCAGGACGTTATATCAGCCCTGCTGGTGAATGTGTGAGATATCGAACGTGTTCCAGTGAAGGACAATATATCAGGGAAGCTGGGAACGAGACACAGGTAATTTCATAGTATCAGGAGCCACTCTGTGGTTAAAATGTGTGTTCGTTTTTAAACAAACCTCCCTTAGGGTTAACAACGCATTTAACCTCTATTAAAACAACACAACCGCTTCAATTTTTTTTTTTTTTTTTTTTTTTTTTGAAAGGCTTACATCTGTTATTACTGTCTACGGTAATGCATTCATCGTAATTATGAGTTCATTACTTCAAACAAGAAAAAATCAAAAGTTAACACGGATATATTTAGTAGTTTAATTGACGCTAAATTGAGACGTGTGTTTGTCGTCTTTTCCTTTGTTAAATGGAACGTTTTTCTTCTTAATTACTTGCTTTTTTTAGGACAACAAATGCTTTTGTGATGGCTCTAATCGCTTTGCACCACAAGAGCCGAAAAAGTGTTTTGAAGAAAACAATCCAAATTCCTGTCTTTGCTTGCAATGTCCACCCGAAACTTTACTAAACATAACAGGTATGATTATACTTTCTTCTCCTCACTTCCATAAAACAGTTTTTCGATTATAAGAATAAACCAAATGAAACAAGGGTTATGTTGCACAAACGTGAGGTATGTTTGATGAAAAAATAAGTGTTTTAGTATAGATTGTTTAAAGAGGCGACTGGAATTGTATGCAGTTGCGTTAGTTTTAAATTTTATGTTATAGAGAATGGTGTGTTTGTGGAGAAGTTTGACCTCAAGGAGCATTGCGTAACGTTGAAAGAAGAACGCATTTTACCTAGGTATACCTTTGAAACTGAAATATTCCATATTCAATGTCAAGTCTGTATCTTTTCTCAGTCTGCTATCACATAATGCCCTGTTTTTTTATTTATTTATTTAACTCGTTGTAATTATTTTCATCCCATGAGCGTTTGATAATGGCCTTAAGTCATGTTACCCATGGCAATTATAACGTAACATAAGTAGCAGAATTGATTTAGCATTCTGAAATGTACTGAAGGACTTGACAGTTTAAGTGGCTGGACATTATGAACCAAGAAATGATATCAAGCAAACATATGGGCCCGGGAAAGTTTTTTATTTTTTTTACTTTGAGGAAAATTGCATGTAGGGAATACCCCTACTATAACGTCTTCAAACGTATCTTTTCTCTTTTAAGCGACGATTGTGCTGGTTGGAAAATAGCTTTTGGGGGTATGTTTACCAATGCAAGATACCTAGTCAGTACTAGTTACAACATGAGTCATTCACTTCATACGTCATACAGAGCGTAATAATATCGAAGTGCCGGCCGTGGTACACAGCTTCTTATTGGAGTTTTAAATCGAATGGCGAAATATATATTCTTCATATAATATGCAAAATAAGTATTCAGATGTTTCCATTTATCACCCAAGTAAATAAAGAAAAAATATTGCCATTCTAACTCCATAAAAAGTGCATGAGATGTTCTCAATTATTCACAAAGTGGTACTATTTGTACAACAAACTGCATAGGGTATATTTGACTTCCATTCATTGTAACATAAATGTGGTGCCATTAGATGAATGATTTTGAAAGTAATATGCCATACCATGTTTAATTATTTCTAGTTGTTTTGGTCCTGGCAGTTATCACCATAGGGATATTATCGAATTTCTGTAAGTATACTTCTGCATGTCAAAGGATAGTTTATGAAAAATGTTGACAACTAACCCAAATGCAGATAATTTGATGCATATATATATTACTACTTATTTCCCACCTTCTAAAAACATGTTTAGCTAGTGTGCCGATGGTTTGGTCATAGCAAGGCAAGGATATGGAATGTATAACTAAATTTCCAACGTCCAAATGCTGTTCAAACATATTAAATTAGCGTAAACCAAAATATTAAAAAGGTGAATTTTCCTTTCCGTGAGGACCATTCCGTGATATATATATATATATATATATATATATATATATATATATATATATATATATATATAACCACCGCCGTTTGAAGCGCCGTCCTATATACGTTGGCAGATCCTTCTGTAACCACCCCGCTAGATGAAAGGGACTACAATCTTTCACCGGTGGCCAACTATGAATTTTAACACCAATGTTGATATTCATGTAGTAATTTAACATTACAGTTTTCTGTACACTCTTGATATGATCAAGGCAGCACGATTTTGAATTGAAATAAACTTTCTCATCCAAGATAGCATGGCGAACTGGGCAAGGGAGATATATATATATATATATATATATATATATATATATATATATATATATATATATATATATTGCATGCATAAGAGATTGCACTTATGAATCATTGGGCTTAGGGTAATCGGCTTTATGGATTAGGTTGTTTCTTCTCTTTGTGGAACCATAACATATTTTTAATCTATTTTCAAGTTTATAATCAGTTTAATATTAATGTCGCTTTTTTAAATAATATTAACATCAATTGCAATTTTTTCCCATCACTATGAATAATATACGTATTTTCTTTTATTCTTTTTCCTAGTGCGCAAATGTAGGCAAGAGAAAGGCAAGTATTAACCAAGTTTACTTCCCCCCGATATAATTTTATGGACATAGGAAGTATGGTCGGCTTGATAAACTGTCCGTTTTGGAATCAGAATATTTTTCATAACAAAAACGGTTTTAGTTTTAATCATCCGGTAGAAGAACAATCACGAGTCAATTAAATTCTTGGTAGAGCTCAACGACTCAGTCTCAGCCTGATACATTTCATAGGGTTATGGACAATTTGCCTCAACTTGTGTAGAATAAAAAACCAGCAGAAGTCCAAAGCACCCCAGGAAAGCTTTTTGTATTACCCACACCTTTTTATTAGTTTGAATTCCAACTTAACTTTACATCGAGTTCCTGATATACCTTATCCTTCTTAACATTCTTCACAAATATTTTATGGTATATTTGTTAAATATTCCTTCCTCTGAAAGACGGGGGTCTGTTACAACACAGTTCATTTTCATTTTTGATGCAGATCAGTTTGCAAATCAGCTTCGGCAAGTTTGGAATCCAAGTCATCAGCAATTTTATAATATAGAAATATTAATTACACCCACGATGAAGCCAATTTAATTATACTACCCCTTAAGAGGCAAATAATAGACGTGAATTTAACCTCCAATATATATAATCAAGTTAAACCAATGCGTTCTTATCAATATGTTGTTTATCGTCAGTGGTCGTATTAGGGAGTGGCTTATCTATATTTAAGTTTGTGTGTGACTTGGATTTAAATTTGAGCTCAAGACCAATACCTCTTGGCCCACTTGTAGACATGCGTGCAATATAACGTGAACTGTAGGCGACTTCAACAAACTTAACGTAAGTCCTTGTGGAACCAAAACATTATACCTATCTAATATATTAATGGGTTTACCATCAATGTACTTTATTTAAACTATTCACAACATTTAACATCCATTAATCATTCACGTATTTTCATCAAGGTATTAACCAAACAAAAGAGATGCCACTACAAGGTAAGTTCCTCTCAGAGGCGGTTACATTTTTCTTAAGATTTCAGGAATATATATATATATAT